AAAAAACATATGTTATGCAGAAAAATAAACTGAACAAGTTTTGCCTCAGGGTCATATCGAAATTCTTTACCATTTTTTTTTTTTTTTTTTTTTTTTTTTTCCTTTGGCATGGCCGGGCAAATGAACCCGAGCCACTCTGGTAACCTAGATAAAAATTACATAATTAATACAAAATAATAACAAGAAACACTACTAATAATGCCTCCTGATTTTGGCCGACTCGATTGTGTTGTAGGTGGAATTCCCCCGTTCTAACCATCCAATCATCGTTTCCCAGAAAAGTACTCCGCGAGGGTATTTTCCTTTTTTTTCTAGGCTACCAGAGTGGCCTGGGGTCACTTGCCCGGCCGGGCCAATATTTTTAAATTATTTTTTATTCCAAATTTGGTGAAGATTTTTTTTTATTTTTTTTTTTCCCTTGAAAATCTGGGCGGTTGGTCCTCAGCCAGGAAGTGATAAGAGCATCTCCCTGTCTGAGGATCCTCCCTTAGATTATTCCGTTCCATTGGTGGGGAGCTGCACCTGCTGGAAATCGGGTCCAGCGTCCCTTACAATGAGCTGATAGAATGACAACAAGACAATTTCACAAAAGGAAGGCTTCCGGGTCCTGAGGGAGGATGTGATCCTCCTTCTCGTCCCACAGGTGATGGGAGAAGACTAACCGTTTGTTATCTGAGAGACAAATCCACTGAAACTCAGGGGCCCAAGAGCCGAGCATAGACTTCTGTGCCTCTGAGAGTGAGGGAGACAGAAATCTCACCTTTCTCCATTCTGCCAAGATTAGGGTTCTAACTGCACTTTTGACAGAGTTGCGCAGGCGAGATACCGCCCAATGAGAGTTATTAAACCTCCGGTCTCTGCGAGCTGACCATAAGACCCAGAAAACGATAATCCGAAACTTGTTAGCAATTTTAGCTCTAAGAGAGTTAGATTGATCCCCGAAAAGAACCAGGGCCTTATTCCAATAAACATAGTCCTTATAGGCTGCGAACCACAATCTGCTTACCCAGTCCCAGAATCCTCTGGCCACCACGCATTCCAAGAAAAATAAAAAGAAAGCCAGAAAACACCCCCCCGAGCGCGTGTGTTCCTCCTCTACGTCTTAAAAATTTTAAGGGAAAATTCAAAATTGTTGAAAGGCCCCTGAAAGATGGGGCATTTTGTCAGATACCCCTAACAGGCATATGGGTATGGCGAAATGCCCCTATGACAGTTGTGAAACTTTACGAGATGCCCCATTTGCCAATTGGACCCCGCATCTTGTGTATATACCCCTACCGGGCCGAGTGCAACTTGTCCATATGCCCCCGTGTTTCTGGCAGTTGGACACTTTCCTGAAAAAAAATTGCAAAATGTCCCCACCCGTAGCTGCCAGCTTTTCTGTTTGCCGTTTTCCTCCTCCTCCCTGTTCATCTCCATCACCTTCTCTCCTCCTCCTCTACTTCCCCCCCCCGCTTCCC